AGKYATCATTGTCAAAATTTGCAAGAGGAGTCCTGGTCAATCAAGAATAGTCAACATGCAATTCTTCAATAACAAGGGTGACGGTCAAGGCCTCCTTACCAGGTGCACCRCCACCAAACTGATAGGGATAGGGTGCACTCTGCCCTGGCTTTCTGAATGGCACTTCTCCATTYGAATCCTAGGAGGAAATTGAAATCAGCTTCATGCAAATGGATTACTTGAAGTCTGTGTATCTTTGTGTTACCACCAGCATCTTTGTATATCATTAGGTTGACAATAGTCTGTCACCACTTGAAGGAGCATCAATGCTTGAGAGTGYAGATGAGGAAAGTCAAGTATCAGCGAATGATCAAAGCTTGAATTTTCTGGAGAACAGCCAAATTTGTTTCGCTCTCTGTCTCTGAAGGGAATCTTGTAATGAAAAGATGGCAGCCACTTGGGAATGTGTAGRTACTCTCCCACCACTTGATARATGTGTTGGTGAAGTCTGAGTGGGAGATATGAGCTGGTAATGAATCTTCAAGATCTCTGACTCAATTCAAGTGATGGARGAAAAGTGAAATGATATGATTGGAGGCATCCTCTGTGAAATTGCCTTCAAGCACCAATTCCACAGCTTGAGTAGAAGCACTCCAATTGAATTGTGTTTTCAATRGTTCCTGTGTGAAGAGCGTTTTATCTGTTTCAGCTTGGCCAAAGTGTAATTGGCTCTGAAGTTGAAGACATTTTTTCAATCTCACAAGGGTTGGTGATCGTCGCCCAATCAGTGGGATCAGTGACAGTCTTGGAGCTAATTAGGCTGAAGTTGGAAGTAGATGTATCAAAAGATTATCATTCTAGGATTCCTGTTTGGAGGGATGAGTTTGACAMTCCAAAATTCTTTGGGGGTCACCCTGCATTAAACTGATAATTGTAGGCTCAAAAGGAAGGCACTTTACATCACACACCATCATTAGTCCCCCACAATACAAGTGTGTAATAAACAAACATTCATCAAGCAACATTTACTTTGTTGCCTGGGCCATACTACTGTACAGCATACTAAAGTAGTATAGGAAGATTGTCACAGTTGAACCATRTGTACAGCAGTGATGTCAGGGATCATAATTTGGTAGTAGAGTGAAASTGATAAATTGAAAATTTAGGAAGTACAAAGTTTAATCAGATCCATTTTATCCTAATTTTAGTTTCTCTTGATGTCTTTCTGGATGAAGAGGACATTCTCTCTGGTAGTAGTAACTATCCTCTTGTTGATATCATGCTTGGAATTGTTGTCTATATACTGTACATCCCTTTGTCTTAAAGGAGGATTGCCACTTCAAGTGGTGGTGGTCTTGACAGATGAATGCCATGTGGATCTGGGAGAAAAGAACCAGGTCACTGTGATTGATTCAGTCTACTAAGAAGAGCGAGTACCATCCATCAAGCAAGGGGAAGACAAAAAGCATTTTCTTGTTACAGCTGATGGCAATGAAGTGGGTTCATTTGCAGTTTACTGTAAAGAATTTGGTGTCACTCTTCATGTTGGACACATAGTCAAATGCTCAATTGGGGTGAAATATGATTAGTTGAACAAAGGAGGTCTTCTGCATAGCTCAATTATGCCTGGAAAACAWGAGTGGCTTCTTCAGAAATCCCAAGGTCTGCCTCTATTTTTAGCTCCTCCTAACAAAAAACAACCAATGGGTGCTGCAACTAAAATATAGTAGAWAAYAGACTATTTCTTAGGCCAACAGCTGTCCCTTCAMAATGTATGCTATGAGCCTATCAGGACAAGGAGCCCTTGAGAAGAGAGAGAGAAAAGACCAAGTTAAGTCAAATTCATTCACAGTGAGTGCAATCTAAACCTTGTTTTGGAAAAGGGGATGAATATCTGGACAGGACATGATGATAAGGGATAGCTGAGCAAGTACAACTATTAAATAACAATATAATCTGTCTATATATACTAGCTACGACTGAACAAGCAGCAGAAATCCTATTGAAAGCAAATGCAGCAACTTATTCTGTCAGAGGACTACCCTTTATTGCAAATTATTTCAAGGAAACTCCAATGAAGGACATTGCTTTGTAAAGTGATGGCAGAGGAGCGGAGGAATAGTCTTACTGCGACATCTTTACTTCATCTAGAACCAGCATCATAAGTAGAAACACTTGGTTTCTATCATTTCATTTTGAAAAAAGTRTCAAAACTGAAMGACCTAATCAGTGGTAATCTATTCAATGTCTGCAAACAATGCTGTCAATAATAATGTACTAAACATGGGGAACATGGCGCTTGTACAAAGCTGTAATGTCTTGTTCTGCTCTTGACTTATAGTAGCATGGGCAAAAATTGGAGACATGCCAGTTGTACATTATTTAAGTTCAATATCCAGTCTCACATAWTTTCCAATAATCAATAACCCCACAGGACTAGAATCCTTTCTTTAATTGGAACAAATAGGACTCCTCATCCCTGTTAAGCAACCTTYGGAGACCAAGATAAWGGTGAAATTGTTAGTTAGTAAAACCATTRTATGGTTTACATCAAGGTGGGTCAATTTTGGACTATCATTTTATTATACTAATAACTAGTTTGCTCAACAATTTCCAGTACCATGAAACTAACTGCTCATCAAATTAGGCAATTCTTATTTCAGCTGAAACTTTGGCAAGACCCCCCTTGTCTCTTTTGTTCTATCTCCAGACTATCAACAGAAAAGTGATGGATTCATTGGACTGTGCTTTTTGGGTGACTATTGGAATGTGTTGTGGACTTTGCTGTTTAGGTGACTATCAAAAGGAGTCAAACACTTAGCACTATCTTGAAATTGAAATTGGGAACAATACATCCTRTGAGGCCTGCTACCCCAGCTTAATATGGAGGATATTACTGCATAAATCAAGCAGCAAGCACCAGATGAGTAAGAAACAAACTCCAACACTCCAGATTTTCTTGTCAAAAAAATCCACGATGACATCTATTGATTCACCGCCAAAACCTCTCCTGATTCAATAGAACAACAATCTAGACCCAAGGAGCTATTTGCCTATCATAATCATAGCCAACAGTGAGTATTAAAAGGAAGAAGGAAAAGATCAAGAAGGTAAGGCACCAAGAATGGCTCCTTGTGTACAAGGGACCCAGCTCATGAACAAAGAAGACCTGGTTGCCAAAGCACAAGCTTGCAATCGTACATGACAATCTCAAAATGAAATGKCACTCAGTAACAAAGGCTCAGATTGCAATGTAGCTCATCAAGAAACAACACAACAACCCAGCAGGGTTTGGTCTGAAGATCCAAGATACAGGTGCTCCCCMTGCAACCACCAGAGGTCTCTCCTCCAACACTCCTCAACAATCCCTTTCTTCAGGTCTARTTTGTTGTGGTCTCTCAAGATTGGAAATGGATTATAGAATTGGAATGGGACAAAATACCAACTCCACACAACAAAGAACTCAATAAGACCTGTGCAGGCTGTTAAAAGAAGACATGTCTCAAGAAAAGAGACCTCAAGAGTGCCATCAAGCTTGTGAGATTTGCCAAGTCTCTCTTGCCTAAGTGAATAAAAGTTGTTCACAAACATGAGTGATTTCTTGAGATCTATAGGACTGTAGTAATGAAGAGGGAGAAGAATTACACTGCTTCTTGCTTATTTCTGTGCCAAAGAGTTTGCTTATGATGAGTGGGGGAATCCTAGCACAATGGACAGGATCTTCAAATGGGATTCTGGCAACTACAGTGATTTGAGTGAGGTCACTTTTTACAGTTGGTGCATTGGTGCTCCTTGGTGGTACAACAAGAATATCAACCTCATTTGAAACAATTGCAGTACTACTACTAATATCATCATCTTCAACATCAAACAGGTATTTCATGTACTCAGAGTTATGTCTCAACTCCTCTTATATTGGAGCCTTTCAGTCTGTCCTATCTCTTGTTTTCTTATCCTCATYCCTGACCCTGGAGCATTAGTCACCTGCCACCACCAAATAAGCCCAAACCATTCTTCATAGTTGTGGTACTAGTTACCATTCTACTACACATTCTACACAGTCATTTGTATAAGAATCCAATGGCCCAAAATCTCCAAAATCTGTTAAGTAAATACTGGACAATTATTTCCGGAAAAATAGATTAGTGCAAAGTGTACTAGTAGTAGTACTAGCATTATTTCTGGATTTAGGTACTACTACACTACTAGTAGTACTAGTACTAGTACTGCTGTTGGTGTTGTTAGTAGCTAGTACTATTTTATAATTTGTACAAGTCTACCAAGAAACAATAACTCTAGTTTGAAGGCAAGGAGAACCAAAAATTGAAGTTAAGCACTCCTCAGTCATTGCTGTATTAGTAAGTTGATCTCAAATGAAAATATTTGTAGTAGTACTACTACTAGTAGTTCAACATCACATCGTACTAGTACTATTCGCAACTACATGTACTCATACAGATTTTCGTAGTTACTTGTGGTATGAGCACTAGTAACGGTAACGCTGTTTCTTTCAAGAAGATCAACCTTTTGTTTTCAGTCACACACGATTGTATCTTCCGAATAATTGAATCAGACGGTAGGTAGGGTACCGTACCTACGCAGGTACGAAGGAAATAAGAGAATCAATCCTCTACGGTACAATAAAGCTACTAAGAAATGAGCTRTGTGGAGGCAGTAGTGATTCCTACTTAAACCATTCAATTAAAAGTCCACCCCCTTACCGGAATGTCATCTCTACTCTGACACGGCGACAGCAACCACGCTGTGATCTTTTCAATGGAAAGATGTACCGTACCGTACGAGAACCGTACGTACCGTGTCGTATGATTTCATCGAGACAAAGCACGAGSTCTCGTGCCACTCGTAGAGTAASTACGTAYGTAATGTACTGTACGAGCGATTCAGAACAAGGCACAATGTTTCTTCAACGGTAATGCTCAGATCACTATTTGCATCAMCACCAACAGCAGCAAAGAAGGAAGTATAAGATCAGAAAAGCTAGACAATGGGCGAACCTATTGTCATACAGGGCACCGCCGTATCGGCTCCCGCACAAACCACCCAGGCCGTTACTTACGGAGCCGAGTTCGAAACACCCAGCTCGAACAATCCGGAACCCGCCAAAACGGGTTGCAAAGACCCGCTCTTCGCCATTTTGTTCTACTGCAACGTGGCCGCGCTACTAATCGTCGTTGTCCTTTACGGCATACCAGCAATGAGAGAGTCAGATAGTAGTACTAACTATCTTCGGTATGTATAGTGAATTTGTTGTGGATGCATTCTGAATTCTTGCGATTGACTGAGGACAAGCTTCACSTCTCCTCAACCAATGCATCGTTTTCTTTATTTTTCAGATATGTGACAGCAGCTTTAGTGTTTGGTGTCAYTTCTTTCGTAGCTGGTCTCGCTGGACTTTTCATGCTAATAACTTGCCCTGCACTCATGATCAAAGTGGGTCTGATATTCTCTGTTGCAGTAGCTATAGCATATTGTGTTTATGCTTTCCTGTATTTGAATTTAGTCTTTGGAATCTTGGCTGTTGTGTTTGCTGCCTTGATGGCATGCTATGCCAGAGGAGTATGGAGCAGAATTCCATTTGCCGCAATCAATATGTTGACAGCCGCAACCGCAGTCAAAGCAAATCTTGGCGTTACCATTTTTGCCATATTCTTTACTATACTCGAGGTCGCATGGCTTGTCCTTTGGGCGATAGCAATGGTTGGTGTTTACGATAAAACGACGAAATGCGACGCTAACAGCCAATGCGATATCAACTATGGAATTTTATTCGGGCTATTTGTTTGTTTGTTCTTCACACAACAAGTGCTCCAAAGTTGCGTACACGTTAATGTTGCTGGAACTGTTGCAACCTGGGTAAGTAGGATACAAYCAGAGTGAAGCTGAGAAAAGCGAAATTAATTGGTTTCGAGTGGATACTCATTGGGGATATTTTGTTTTCGTGTCTCGTTTTTCCATCAATGTTACGATAGTGGGTGGCACCCAAYGAGTCCGGTTGCTGTTCCAAAGGAGTGTGCAATTCATTCATTCGAACCGTCACAACGAGTTTTGGATCCATTTGCTTCGGCTCGCTAATTGTCGCAATCATTCAAGCATTGAGAGCGCTCGCTTCAGCAGCAAGAGGAAATGACGACGCGGGATTCCTTGCATGTATCGCTGAGTGCATCCTCGCCTGCCTCCAGAGTATTGTGGAGTATTTCAACAAGTGGGCCTTCATTTATGTCGGTACGTGAAATCTTTGGGGTTTGAAATTGATTATGCATATGGTGTATCCGTGGCACTTAAGGCTTCGCGCACGCTGGTCCTTATTGATTCAGTGCTCTTTTACTTACACTTTTCTTTTTGCTTCACAGGCGTTTATGGATTCGGTTACATTGAAGCTGGAAAAAATGTTATGCAGTTGTTCAGAGACCGTGGCTGGGAAGCTATCATTGCGGACGACCTTGTGGGTGGTGCAATTTTCATGCTTTGTTGTGTTCTTGGACTTATCATAGGAGTTGTAGGTGTTGTGTATGCCTCAATCAACTCCGAATTCAAGACTTTAGCCCAGGACAGTCTGGGTGCTGCTTTCGGTATTGGATTCGTCGCAGGTTTGTTCGTCGCCAGTGTCATTTTAYMTACTGTTGCTAGTGGAGTCAACACAGTCATTGTAATGTTTGCCGATGCTCCACAAGAATTCAATCAAAATCATCCTGAACTGTCCCGTAAAATGAGAGAAACTTGGACACAATTTTATCCGGGTAGCGTCTAATGATTAGTGTTTGATGTTCAGTGGTGTCAGTTTTATTTCCTTACGAGGGATAAAATGATAAATTATTTGTTATTTGTCAACATCGGTGTMAGTAACATCAGTCACATCGACAAAGATTGMGGGAGTACGGYCAAGAAGAGAAAASAATGCGAGAGATGAATTGCTAGTCTACGTTGATTTAATCGATAATGAAACAGAAGCAATCATGTATATTTTACTAAAGTAACTTGTCCAAATCTATAYATCGTAACTATCGTGCGAGGGCACAARCGAGAAGTCATATCTTAGGTGAACAATGCCTTCATATCGTCCACGTTTAGCATTTTTAGACTTGCAGCATCTCTGCCAACTGTACCATCGAATACAAGCCGCTTCTTTTCTTGAAGTTGAAGCACACGTTCTTCAACTGTCCCCTCGGCAATGAATCTGACAGCACGAATTGGTCTGTACTGACCCAGTCTATGTGTCCTATCGATCGCCTGCATTTCAGCAGCGGGATTCCACCAAGGATCTAACAAATATGCCTCATTGGCAACAGTCAGGTTCAATGCCACGCCTCCCGCTTTGAGGCTCATCAAAAGTACCCTAACCGATGGATCTTCTTTGAAAGATTTCAAAGCTTCGTCACGTGACTGTACGCTCATCCCTCCATGAATAATCCGAACACCAAGCCCCAAGTCCTGAAGGCATGGGTCAGAGCTCAAACGCCATCGACAAAGGTCTAGCATAGAAGTGAACTGAGAGAAAACTAATGCTTTACTTCCTGGACGATCTTGTCTCATTTCGTACAGTTCTTGGACTAACGCTTCGAGTTTTGTCGATGTCGAAAATTCTGCTAAATCAATTCGCCTTAAAATGGATTCGGTTGCAACGTTCCTCATTTCCTTCAAAGATGGCATCCCTGACGTCTTATTTACAGTCAAAGTACCATTGTCAACTTCTTGGCAAGTCGTCTGATTGAGATCAATACTAAAGGGAGCACGACAGCATGGGCAACGAGTGCTACCCTGTTCCAYATCTGTGAGTGTCATCATATCAATAACGCAACTACGACAAAATGCAGAACCGCAACATGTACTTAAAACTCTGTCTGTTGGAGTTTCTCCACAAAGTTCACATGTAGTAGATCCATTTGCAACAGCTGGTTGTCCTTGTTGTAGTTTCATGTGATTTTTCTTGGAGTGTACAATCAAGTATGGATGGTCCACGGCTTGACGCATTTTGGTCAGCAAATCAAAGATATGAGCATAGTTGTTCAGTAATGTACCCTCGGCGATGTAGTCGTCGAAAGAGCTCTTGGTTTGCGTATAGAGGGCATTGTAGAAATCTTCTTCTCGGGGATGCAAGCGAATTGGTTTGATGATAACAACTCTGGGTGGTAAATTCATATCTGCTGCCCTGCTTTCTTTTGTTCGTCTCAACAAACACTTGTCYAGTACTTCGGTCTTGAGTTTCATCATGGCTCGCCGTCCATCTCCTGCATATCCCTCGCGTTGGATTACATTCAGTACGTGTTTGTTAAAGTAAGAAAAATGCTGACTACTTGCATGACCGCAATTTTTGCACTTCCCGTGCTCCATCCTATAATAGATACTTTTGCAGTCGCATCCCTAAAAAGGAGAGGAGTTTTGTTAGAACAAGAATCGATGCAAATGTAAAAGCCTTCGTTTCTGTTCTTGGTGTACTTACCTTTGATCGACAAAAGTAGTGCGCCATAGGATCTATTCTAAGAAACCTGCATCATAGAAAACATGCGCATATCACTATATTGAGGTACCGAAGTCAAGAAAAAAATAGCATTTGGGTTGGAAAAATATTAGAAGTACGTACCTGATAAGAGAATAGAGTTCTCCGACCCTATTTTGCAATGGGGTCCCCGATAGAGCCCAACGGTGTATTCCAGTCAAATGAAATGCAGCCGATGAAGTAGAAGAAGATCGAGACCTTAAAAGCAAAGACAGAATAAATTTCCAGACTTGGTTAGGTGTTTTAGTTACTTTCAAAAATCAGAACAGGTGAAAAACTTACTTAATCACATGAGCTTCATCAAGAACGATTCGCCACCATGATAAAGTATGAAGCACACTCATCTGGCAACCCTCCATAGCCTTTTCCTTWAGTGCTTCCATATCAATRCCTCTCAACGGATCGATGTTACTTTCAATTGGAGATTTCTTCGTACTTTTACTCTTCCTTCCAAAAGATTTCTTCTTCTGTATGTCTTCTTCAGGAAACTTTTTCGTTTTGTTTTTCGCAGCCCTAGATAGTGCAAGTTTCTGGCGTTTCCTGGCACGCGTGAGACTGCTATCGTCTTCCGAGCTAGTYTCGTCATCTGACGAAGAATCGCTGTTGGGTGTGTTTTTCGCCAATCCACATCCTCTCATTCTAGTCATCGTAGTGCGGGCCGGGAGTGACTGCTCATCAGAGCTATCATCCTCTGACGTAAGCTGACTCTCATCCGAAAAATCATCGGAGTCGCTTGCGTTCTCGCCGGCCCATTCCTTTGAGGATGCACTTAATCGTTGTGTAGCGGCTCGTGCAGCAGAGCGAGAGGGGCGTTTGGAGGTCATGTCAAAGCCMTCTGGCAAGGATAGGTCACTGTCACTCTCGTATCCTTTGGTTCGGCTAGTATGAACTGTTGTTTTCGTCTTCTGGGATTTCTTGTTGTCGAGTTTCGTGCTTTTCGTTTTGCTAAACGACTTCTTCTTTTCCTTATTGGTCGATCCCTTTCGTTTGCTCCCGAAACTTTGGTGTCGATCGGCYGACCGCCGCTGACGAGATTGAGCAAAAGTGCGCTGTGCAGTTTCTCCACAAAAGTATTTCAAATGCACTGCAAGCTTGTCTATTTTGAAGGCCCGGCCACAATTGGGGCATTTTACCTTGTTGGGTGAAACCTATAGACAGCGATTCAACACATAACAAACGAAGAGGTGAAATATAAGAAGAACAGACATCAATTACGAGGATGCGTCAAATTTATCCGTCCATCGTCATTGCACAGAATGAAGTCCAAACCGTATAGTTCTTACCATTTTTCGAAAGTCGGCTTCCAACACTTGGTAAGTAGTCAAAACGATGTCGTACTTGCACAACATTTCTTGTGGAAATGATTTGTGTCGATCAACACCGTGGTATATACAGATGGACAGGGTTTCTGGTTCCGTAAACTTTTCGATTTCTTCTTTCCACTGGTACAGTGCGATCAGGGGACAAATCACTAAGGTTCCGCCTCGAGTGCCGATGGTCCCTTTCCTTTCTTGCTTGGCCAACACCCGAACCGGTACATCTGCCATTTTCAGGTCGTTACGACAACCCTTTCGTGCCTCGTTCCAAGCGTTTTCTTCTCTAATTCGCTCCTCCAAGTCAGGTGTGGAGGGAGGATGTTTGGTGCCCGGTGAAACATGCTGCAACTTCGGCCTGTTGTCCAAAATGGTAGTGATAGTTTGGAGAGTTTTCCCCATMCCCATCTCGTCTGCCAAAATTCCACCGGAAATGTCCGACCGCTCCTGGTTGTACATCCAACTAACGCCCTCTCGTTGAAAGGGCAACAAAGTTGCGCCTAAACCTGGAGGTGKGTCTCGAAGCGGTCCCTGGAATGCGGTTTGGACGAGTTCATCGGCATCCATTTCTTGACTTTCTTCCTCGATGCGCAGCTTCGATTCTTCGATTTGTTTTTGTAGCAAAGTCTTGTCCTCTTCTTTCAAGCGTCGCCAGCCCCCAACATCACTTATTTGTTCGATTTCTTCAGGCAGAGTCTGGCACTKGAGGTGACGATAGACCACAAATCCTGGTTTTCCGCGAAAGAGAGGACGAGAGGCAATGCGGAGGGAGTTCTTGGCAATTTTTTCATCGCATCCCTTGCAGGTCGCTCGGCCCGTGCTGGCATATTCGACGCGAAACGGGCGGTCTTTTTCGTCATCACTATCGCTGAGGGAAGCAAGGATCAAAAGCTCCTCTGCTGCTTTTGCATTGGTTTTGGTCTTCTTCGAAGACTTCTTTACCGATTTGGCCTTTTTAGCGGACGATTTCTTCAGGTTGATGAGAGGGCTGCCGTCGTTGCTTTCGACAGCTTTTTCTTCCACGTCTTTCTTGCCATTGACGACGGCACCAGTGGTAGTGTTCGGAACAGAAGACGATGYAGTGCGCTTCGCTTTTTTGGACGCGGTAGCAGACTTTGGTGTTGGCTTCGTTTTCACGGAAGCCGCAGACGCAGCAGGARCTTTCTTCAACTTCGTATCTTTGGAAGCAGCAGGTTTGCGCTTACGGGAGTCTTTGGTGCTCCCCCTTGTTGTTTTCTTCTTCTTATCAGACTCAGAGGCTACGGCATACCGCTTGATGTCGCTTTCTAGCATTTCCTCTTCGTCGCCGTCTTCGTACTTTACTTTGAAATATTTTGATTTGGCATTGTAAGCTGTAACCTTTCCGCTATAGAAGATTCCCTCGAACTCCTTGGATATTTGAGTACCAATGGAATGYGTCGATGGAGACTTTGATGGCGGTGGAGATGCGGGTCCTTTCGGAATTCCTTTTGTGCTGGTCACTTCTTCACATGGAACCGGAGAAGGGGTGACAACACCCCGGTAAACCGTCCGTGTCGATCGACGTTGCGATCTGCGAGAGACAACAGATTTAGGAGGCGTGGATGTCGTGGAGGCAGACACTCTGTCAACGTCAATCGCATCTACCAATCCCGTATCTTTCTCTGTCTCGAAACGACGGAGGCGACGAGTTGGAAACACACCGCGGGTATTGCTGATTTTGAGCTTGACGAGCAATCCGTCTCGGTTCGTTTCGCCAGTTTCTGGATCYTCGTAGTCGAGCAACGACGGAGATACAACGATCCCGACCTCTTCCTGTGACAAATCCACCTTGCTGGCCTCGACCCAGACCAAAGTCCCTGCCGGGAATGCGGAAGAATTGGAATGAGCCATCGTGCCTACCTAGTAGTTGATAGCTTGTTGACTACACACTTCGTATCCTGTGCGAAGCRCCGAGATTGAACAACGTTKTTGGTTCGATTTGTTTACTRCTTAGAACCAAACGATTAAAGTGCTATCTAGGGGCGCTATCATTCGACGCCAAATCCAACTTTTGATGATGAACAGAGGCCACTGGACCATGCAGATGTAACAGTATGATAGTCGGGATAAATTTTGGAAAAATCCCGCCGACGGTCGACGACCGAAGACAACAGATGATGATTTTTCTTCGTTTGCGCGATGATGCTGGTAAGTACCGTAAGGTACAGAGCTATCTTACGGTAAGAGTAACAGTACGATACCTACGGTACACGAAGAAACTCACCAGTACAAGAAGAAATGATGTGTACCGTACTTCGTGATGTTTCTGTCTGATTTCTTCCGTGGATGACTTGGCGGGAAACTAAAGGACTAAACCTGAACCTTTTCGATATGAATATGAATTTTGAGAATCTTGGGTCTTGGCTATTGAATCTTGCGATGCACACCTTACCTATAATACATATTCCTTATACCTATTATGAATGGGTACACTCATTTGATGTCTGGCAGTCTGCCGCATTTCGCATAGCACTGTAGGCAGGGGTCATAATAGACGGTAGGTACGTACGCTACGTACAGGGGTCTTATGACCYTTGCGTACGTTTTCGTACCTATCGGTATCGATAGCGCCGCATCGTGTCCTATTTTTTAAATTCGTGGKACGCCACGCGGCAAGCTGGCGGGCCGATCCGACCACCGATACTGAATCAATCAAGAGTCAATTCATCCTGAATCCAACAGAATGCAATTTTCGGATGCGGACCTCAAACAGGTGTGGATAAATGATTTCGAGACAATCAATGATTTTTATGTCATCCGATCCGATTTACCTCAGCTCGGCGTGACTGTCACACGAAAGCGGACAACATTTCTGCTTCTACCACAATACTGTTGGACATCACCAAAGAGAGTTACATTCTGTTGAATCAYCATAAAACAAAATGTCCCATTCACCCACTACAAATAGAAGCATGTCCTCCTTCCTCCTTCTCGCTGTCCTGTCGATGCTCGTTGTAGAGGTGGCATCGTCATCTTCCTCATCCTCGAAMTTTCTTTCCCTCCCAGCCTTTTACAATAAAGTCGAGAACAGGGTGAGTGGMAAAAGAGAAACTCTCACTCTGCTGTCGTCATTTCATGAGATCCAGAAACAGAAAGTTTTACAATTTCGGGGTGGGGCAGCAGACGAGGCCGACGATGGCGAAAAAGAAGAGGTTGCAGTCAAAGCGGCAGAGGACAGTGACTCTGATGTAGAAAACGATGAGGACGAGGACGAGGACGAGGACGAGTACGACAACGAATCTACCGAAGAGGATAGCGACGAAGACGAATATTACGACGACGAAACAGACGAAGAATCAGAAGATAGCGTGCTCGCTTATCAACTGAAAAAAAAATCGGCCAGCAAAGAGAAATCAACCGAACCTTTTGTGGAACCATACTTCGTTTCTCCCAGTCTCCAAATGTATACAACGTTTGGAACCATTCTGTTGAGCCGAAAAATTGATATGTTCAATCCCACGGTCGTTAAATTGCTAAGGTGCGTTCATCGACGAATATTTTGCAAATCCTGAGATGTCAATGTTCTTCTTCGGGTATTGAAAGGAATTTCCTGGAAACATCCCTTTTTTAACCATCATATCTTTCTTTCTTTGCAGATCCATGTTCGTGGTGCACCTTATTGTTCAGCAAGCCTTCATCTTTTATGTTCGCATTATGGCCAAGCGGAACAACGACAGAACTCCGGTTGATGTAGAAAATCCCCTGACCAGCATGTTGTCGTCGCAGTTGGAAAAACAACAGGCAGGAGGTGACATGGTGAAGAATTTAGCGTCGAACTTTTTGAAGAAAGAAACAACCGTTTGTGAGTACGATATGGGGAAAGCTATGAGCATGCAGGGTGGAATCCTCTTCAACATGGCTTTCATGTGGCTTCTGCACTTTAAGATGAATCAGGTACAGCCTCTTCTAGTGACATCAATCAATGGTTTCTTGCAACTTGCATACAATCCGCTGTTTCAGGTATATATCTTAGGGCGCAATTTGGAACGACCTTTTAAGAATCCAGAGGTATTWAAGGATCCAAGAGCCGAGGAAGGAAGTGACGATGCCGAGACGACAAAGGAAGAAACAACCGAGACTGCCACCGATGAKAGCRAASTTGACGACGCAGAAAACGATGTWGATGAAGATAGCGAAGACGAAATCAKTGACGACGATGATGAAAGCACCGACGATGAAGATTCTTCAGATGAGGACGAAGATGAGGACGAGTAATCCAAACCTGCAACTAAATTATTTTCTAATGCGCAGTATCGCAGTATCACAAATTCCTATTTTCCGGGGCAACTTCGACTCCCAAAATCCGTGGCTGTGTTTTACTAGAAGTACCTTGTCTTGACAATTACTCTTYGAGTGCAGCGATGAACAATTGTACGTCATCCATACCTACCAGCCAGACTATTATGCAACGAAAAGACGTACTCCACAACTTGATTTCAGAGCCGAACTCGACGGAAGTATCCTCTTTATTGTGACCGACCGCCGGAGTTGACTTTAATARTGRCAACACACGATTGAGATACTATGATTCATACATCCGTAATAAATTTTTATTATTATAATGCTACACATGAGACTATTTTTCTAAACTATCGTATTGAAAAAGTCGATGATCAAATTAGAGTTTCATGTGAGAACGATCCTTTTGTCGCGATGAAAAGAGTTGAATTAACCCCCTTAACAAAAGGAAAATGCTCACTGCGCGAATCGAAGGTGTACCTTTGCAGACAACGAGGGGTAGGATGTTCATAGGAAGAGCGAAAAATATTTTGAGTTTCGACTTTTTCTCGCCATACCAAAGTTCAGAGAAGAGGAAATATGCGCTTGGTATTGTAGCGAGCAATCCAGCAGTATGAAGCTGTGGTTCATAAAGCGTTGTCGAAGTCCAGAAACCACTCCCTTCAAGCTTACTCGAAATTGCGTAAGCTTTGCTTTTTGATGTTGCTTTCTCTGCCAGCTGCAACAGAAAATCTTTGTTCAATCTGACTGTGTTCGACACAGTTTCAACCGTACTTTTGGGCCAAAATTTGGATTCAAGGATCGATTTAAGGAAGGGCGACCCGCGCAAAAAGATTGTATGAAATCCTACCAAGTAAAAGACAAACAWCGTCCCAACGACAGGAGGAACAAACATGTTTGAACCATTGAGATAATTCATCGTAATTCCTACAACCTTTGTCTGTTTYTTTTTKGCCCCCGAAGCTCGTGAAATCGTCCGAGAGTAACTTTCAACAGATCCTTCTCCCTCCAGAAAAAGAAGAATAGGAGAAATGAAAACTGTTCCAAATAGAGATGCCGGAACTCCCATGAAAACTGTAAGTCCAAGTTCGGCATCCAGTCCGGCTACTCCAAGTCTACCGAAGAGATTTATCACGGTGAGAACATAGCAMGAAATGCAGCCCAGGTTGCCAATACTCCTGGACGATGTACTCTTCGATATTCTTGATCGAACAGCAAAAGTCAATGCTAGATTTACACCAGCGGCGACGATGAGATACGTCGACAGGCAACCTCCCGGTGCGAAAAGATTTGTTGAAGTAGATGGAAATAGGAAGCTTGGAGCACAAGTCACCAAAAGCARTAATACAAATGCTCCAAAAGTTATTTTTGCCATGTCGCCCACTTCATCGAAATCGTCCAGGTCAATGAAGTATCCAAGAACGCAAGTCACGGTCCCGAAGAAAGATAATACCATACAAGCGAGGGTCGTGATGGCCAGTGACCAGAAATCCTGTTCGCTCATGCTTACGATGGTAATGAACCAAGCTATTCCGCATCCAAACATTAAACTGAACATCATTAGACGCAAGAACAGTGTTCTATCTTTCCTTCCCGAGGGGTGCCGTCTCTCGCGCAATTCAAAAGGACCAATAATTGCTAGCAAACTTGCCAATGACGCTAACATAATTCCCCAGCCGCCGGTTCTGTTGTGGCCTTCGGTTGTTAGTCGCGTTCCTAGACTGGAGATTCCCGCGTATGGATTGGAGATACCAAGGTCATCTTCGCCGACGATCCACTCCGGTACTGTAGGAGCTGATAGTGCGATACCCATACCCATGAGAAATGCGAGCGCTGCTGTTTTCTTCCAGCTTTCTCCACCGCCGTCTGGGAGGTAATGGTTCAACATATAGAGACTAGCGATCCCCCATAGTGCCATTGCACATCCAACAGTCTCCGAGAGAGGAAGGGCCATGTTGTAGTATGTTCCCAGGTTGTAATGAGCTGATAATGCCATTATCAATGGGCTCAATACCGTCGGGACAGAGACGATCACTGCTGATGGGAGGACGAAAAGACAATATATGGCTACGTTCCGAATCGCACCTGGTGCGATTGAGGAAGTAAGTTTGCCAKMTGACGTAGTTCGGTGGTAYYTGTGACCGGTCTTCATGCGGATTGGTTTCATGAGTGCGCTAGGAACAAGCATAATAAAGACCAGCGCAGAAGTGATGAGCGCTMTATACAACAGGCGTTGTGCCAGATGCTCTTCACTGTGTTCCGATCGAATTTTSCTATCGGATTCACTCGCATCGATAAAAACCGCAATGCCTTTCCCGATGCCCACCGAAATGGCGGCGACATACATTAGTTTSGAGATCATATCCAARCGTCTTGTGTAGGCAGCTACCCCAAYGATGAGACAAGTMGTTATCAGAGAACTTGCGTGATCGTATACAAAATCTGAATCTTCCACATCGGAGTCAACTTCCATCGTTGGAACGGTTTCGGGCAATGGTTGGCGTATGAGTGTCGTTTCCAATACTGTCAGTGACAGGCAATAGACAACAAGGATGATACCGGGAACATCAATCCGTTTCAGAAGYGACGCGCCAACGCCTCCTTCGGATCGTGTTGCGAATCCAGCAACAAGGCCGATCAGTACGGAACAGAATACTTCGGCCGTTCCAAACCGCACGAGATTCATCTCGATGCCGGGAATCGGCAAGGGTATGGTCACATTTATCCCCGCAAAGCGGTAGCCGAAGACCACAATGCCMGTAGCGTGTAGGACAAAGAGGAAAATGCAGAGATACCGCATCATTTTCGTTGTGATCCAMACGCTGAGTCCGAGAAATGCCAGGATCGGTAGCGGTGTCAAATTCCACGGGAATCCGAATGCCTTGCCGAGCAACATGCCCGACAGAGAGATGGATGCCTGAACAATGTCCTCGTGGTATTCTCCAAAGAACAGCTCGTTGGTTACGGAAGAAGTTCTTCCCCATATCCAAACGGCAAACAAGCCCGACAGAGTCGCCGAGGTCAGATATGCCGACACGACCAGCGTCGATGCCACGTTGTGCCCATTGAACTCGTACGCGATTCTGTTGCACACCGGAATGAGATAGCGTTGCTGCGCTGCAATCGAGGCCGTTAGCGTGGCGACTACCGGCACAAAGGCACCCAGGAATGCCGTGCTGCTTCGGCTCGGAAACAAGATTTTCGGCAACGAGTAAGGACATTTTTCGAACATGCCGAGAACAGCGCACTGCAAGAGGTAGGGAACTGTCCAAACAATCGCCAGGTCGTACATGTCCTCCAGCGAGGCATATCGGTTCATGATTCTGTCTCGAAACATCAGAACGTGCATCATCCCTGGCACCAACAAGAGAACAATAGTGTGCATGTAGGCACTGAAGGACGTGATGGTGAAACTCGAACCATCGGGGCTCGACCGTTTSTTGGATCCGAAATGCGAACGGCTGCATCCCGTAGAAATCATGCCCGCAGCCATAAAGGCCGCAAACGCGAGCGGGGCAAACGTCGCAACGCGATCCACTCCCCAATAGTCCTCGAGAAGCCTRACCAAGTGATTCGTCAGAATTCCCGCACACACAGGGGGCACCAAGGAGTGCAACGTCACTTCCATTCCCCTGGCCAGTGATGGAAGATCAGAGTACAACCACTGAAACTGCAGAGTGATCCAGCAAGCCTGCAATCAATATCGATAGGGTGAGACAGTGCATCAAATATTCTCGGATCGACGCGCACATGCATACCGGAGAGCCGRACGCTCGCAAAACGATCCAGACCCGGTGTTTCTCGTTCGTTGCGAAACGCCAGGCTCAAATGACTCACCCATGCGCAAAAGAGCATCCCTTCTACCGCCAGCTGCAACAGAAAACCAGCCATCGACACGTCGACGGCACCCGCATCGTCGACCTGCAGCAGGGCTCCGTAGCCGCTGGCCACCGTCATGATCAGGGCAGCAATCCACGCTCCCAGTGCCATGCCGTCTCGGGAATTCATCAGATCCAGGGCGTACAGGCCCAGGGCCACGAACAGGAAGACCTGCAGCACGATGATCGAATCGTGCCACCAGAGGATGGAGCTCAGGGCCGGCACCAGAAAGGACAGGGACGCCGCATTGTGCTGGTAGCGAGCCGTGGGTTGCTTACCCTTCGGGGATCGTTGTGGTTCCTCCGTCGATCGCCCGTTTTCGGTRGAAGTTKCCGGCAACCCGTAGGGAGACTCCCGGAGCACCTCGGTGCTCTTGCTGCGGTGGGACATGTCGGCGTTCGACCACGAGGGAACCTGGACCCTGCCGTACGGCTCTTGCACCGAATGCGGGGAAACCCCACCGTAGGACGGTCGGTGCATCAGCGACGACGTCGTCGACGACGGAGAAGACGCCGCGGCAGAGGCGGGCGCGTACTGCACCGGACGGGGTTTCGGCGGAGGAGGGGGCGGCGGGGGTCGAAAATAGGTCTGGGGGACGGCTCTGGCGGTGCCGAATCCGGGGTTCGCCTCCCTCCTGCCGGCTTGCTGCGGAGGCGGTGGGGGGGGAGGAGGGGGCGGCGGCGGCATCTCGGGGTTCTTACAAGACGGACGGACCGACCGACCGAGAAAGGAAYGGGGGTTGCGGTGTGTGGGTTATTTGCTTGTCGGGGCGAAGGCACCGATTCCGATCGGTCTGAACGAAACGAAGCACTCTTTCGGGGGATGGATGGTGCTGTTCGGTCCTCTCGCTGCGGAACGGATCTGTCGAAGATATCTCGTTTGTACCGTACGGGTTTCTTGGTCCGCAAAGGTTTCCGATCGCGGGGGATCCTCACCTCGGGTTGGCAATGGTACGTAGAGAGCTGCACTACGGGTACGAAGCGCGGACACTAGTGGCAGGTAGCGTCGATTCCAGATTCTCGAATTGAATGGGCGAATGTTGAGTGAACGATCATTTTGAAACAAMAACCGAAAACCTTTCCGACAATGTCTATCCATAAATCTCCGACACCGAACATACCGTACCGTACGCAAAAGACTGTACCGTACTGTGTGGGTACGCTACGTAGTGGTGGGTCATAAGCCGCATACAGTATTGTACCATACGGTACGTCGTGTGTGCGAAGTTTACCGCGCTGTACCGGTACATCGAGTACATGTACCGTACACACTAATCCGGTAATCCGCATTGCGAGTGCTTGGCGAATTAGTATCTATCATAGTTATCATAGGTATGAAGATATAATATTCGACTATCTCGACCTYCATGCCCTGCCTTCCACGAACAAAAAAGGCCGACCTAAGCTCCRCCCCCCTTCACACTCAATCTCGCACCACTGCCGAACGATTTCGTCGAAAAGCTAAGTCTGTACCGTACCTTTTTACAGTACCGGTACCTACGGTACCGTACGGCAATCGTACCAACTACCGTACTGTTTTTGACTTTTCACATTTTTCCCAAGGGGTTGTGCTGGACTGTCCACTGATTATTCCGGATCCGCATACCGGTACGTCGCATCGATTCTCCAGAGCCCGACAACAAGTTCACCAGAGTCACCCACAAAGGAAGGAAGGAAGAAAGGAAGGAACCGGCACCGGCACCGGCATCCGCACCGGCAGCAATGTTTCGTTCCAGGAAGCGGAAAATCCACGCCTCCGCGAGCCGGAGGACGGCGCGATCGTCGTCCCCCGATCGAGAGCAAGACGCGGAAGGGGAGGCAGCTTCCGTGGGGGTGCCGCAGGACGCAGGCGATCCCCCGTCGGCCCTGCAAATGGCGCTCGAGCACCGGAAGCGATCCAAAAAATCCGGGAAGCGATCGCTGAATTCTCGCAGGGGGGGCGGTGGTCCCGTGGCCCGGTCCTTCGACGTGGGCGAGGCCGACGACGACGACGGCAACAAMAGCGGCAGCAACAACAACCACAGCGGGGGAGAATCAGCAAAGCGAKCCAAGAAACGCAAGAAGGAAAAACGGAAGCGGGGACTGGGGTTTGGAGGGGGGCTGTCCCGGGTCGGAGACGGCGATGACGACGACGATGGCGACGGCGACGGCGATGCACAGAGGAATCTCCCGGCAGAAAGGACCAATGCCTCCGTGCCGACCTACGGAAAGGAAGAACTGGAGCAACTCCGGTGCGAACAGCAGAAACGGCAGCCGGAGAAAGAGCCGCAGGTGGCGGAGGATCCGCCACCGAACGCGAGACAGAGAGACCACAACGCCGGAGGAGATGCAAGCAAYCCCCCCCACGCAGAAGAATCCTTCATTCCACTGGACGGCGGGGATCCACCGGGGGGAGCAACGATCGCGGACCAGCCCCGCGAGCCCGGGGGAATCTTTTCCCCGGATCCCCCGCGGGAGGAATCGCACGCATGGGAGGAAGCAATCGAACAGCGAGCGGGCATTCGGGCATCCCACGGAAGAACGGCGTCGCGCCCGGATTCGGGTTCCGCGCTGCTCTCGCTGGACGARCTCTCGCAAAAGCTCGCCTCGACCATCGGAGCCATCGAGAAGCAGAGGGAGGGCCTCGGGCACTCGGCGAACCGCCGCAGGGCGGACCGCGAACACGCMCTGGCCGATTCGAAGGCGCAAGAGACCACCCTCGCTTCCACCGGCCGGGCCTGCGAGTTCTACCAGCGCACCCGCCTCGACCTCGCCCCCTGGGTGGGCGCCCTCCGGGACCTCGGCGARAAGATCGAGCCCATYGCGAAGACCTTCCTGGAGATGCTGGCGGTCCAGTCCGGGGACTTTGRCCGGGGCTTTCGCTCGTGGCAGGACGACTGCACCGCGGCCCTCCGCGAGGCCGATCGGCTGGACCGGGTCCTGGGGMGGCAGCCGGACGACTCGCTCCCGGCCGGAGGAACCGGGGCGGTCCTCGACGAGTTCGGCCGCGACCTCCGACCGCAGCACCTCCGGGACCGGGACGCCCGGTTCCGGAGCCGGGCCGAGCACCTCCGCGAGATCCGCGGGGGCGGCGCCGACGGCGACGCCGGATGCATCGTCGCGTGCCAAGACCACGGCGAGGKGGACCGGTCGGAGGCCCTCCGYGAGGCACTGGGCGCGGCCCTAAGCGACCTGGACGACGGATATTCCTCCGGGGAGGGCTTTCGATCCGTCTTTGACCGGTGGTTTGCGGCCTACCCCGAGGACTACCAGCAATGCTAYGCGACGCTCAGCTTTGGGGATTTGTACGCCGTGCTGGTGAAGCTGGAGCTCTGCCGGTCGGGGTTCTTCCCGGGCATGCTGGTCTCGCCGGCTCCACCGRGCGAGACGAGTGGGGTGGCGGCGAGTGGYGGCACGCCACCGCCGTCCCCTTCCTTTCTGGACGCCGGGGCGTGTTTTGTGGAGGCATCCGGGGACGCSGGGAGCAACAGAACGGAAAAAGACGMGGGCGGGGACGCCTCGAGCAGCGAAGCAACCAGAGCCACGGAAAACGAGGGCCGCCTCGCGAGAGTTGTCGAGAAAGCTTTGCTCCCGATGCTGTGHGGAATCCTGAAAGTGGACGACAAGGCGAGCGAAAGCCGCAGCAGCGGGGACGCCTTTGGCATCTTTCTTTCTCCGAGGAAATCCCTGGTGCTTTCGAAGCTAGTGGGCGAGGTTCGGTGGGGCTTGCAATCGGCGCGGCACGCCARTGGGGGTCCGGGACACCAAAACGATCCGTCGCCGGCGCCGTCCTCGGGCCTGGGACAGAAGCTCGAGAGGGTCATCACCTCGGCGATCCAAAACGCCCTGGACGGTGTCGCCATACCCATCGCGAGGGATGCGGCCACCCAGCCGAACCTATCCCCCACTTCCGCGACGGGTCTGGCGYCCTCCGAGGCAGAAGCCTGCTCGGTGAAATATACCACCACCTACCAGGTCCGGATACTCCGACAGGCGCTCTGCAACATCATCCAGCACTGGCTCCCGCTGGTGTCGGTGGACGGCGGCGACGGGGATTCTGCCGGTGCCGGCGACGCACCCGAAGACGCCATCCGCGCCGTCCTTGGGTTCATCAGCGACAAGTACCTGGTGCTGCTCTCGTCSCTCGAGACCGCCGCACACGACGAGGCGTCGCCGCAGCCGCTCTCCGCACGGGCGCTCTTCCAACCGATCTGGGAAGCCCTCAACAAGGACGCGAGAAAGATCATCGAATCGCCGTCGCTGATGATGTCGACGATGCCCCTGAGAGCCGCGGCGCTTGCGTACCAGCTTCAATAACAAATCGATACCCCGTGCCGGTTGCGGTGTGGTTGATGGTGCCAGCGATTGTGGGGGTTCACACTACCGGTGTTGCAACACGTGTATCGGATGGACAATGAGTACTGATATAAAGATATTGTATTACCTAGTTGCTATCAATCTTGTGATCATTCTGCATTACCACCTTTCCCATAATGTTGTAGGGGGGCTCCAGAACCAGGATCGACCTCGATAGCGATACTTTCCCYWMTT